ATGAGATGATAAACAAGGACATTTAATTGACATTGGATTTGTAATCAGATTTTAGCCAAAATTTTACACTGTTATAATGTTGGAGTTACTGCAGCATTTTCTGGAAGATCTCATAGTATCACAAAAATAAACAGGTAACATCATACTAATTCATTGTTATCCATTTTAAGGTCAATCCCATCGGTCTTATAATCAAGTATCTGGCATGTCATTATATTTAAAGCATATTGATAAAGGACACGTTTAGCCAATTGAAAGCCCTTAGATTTTTTTCAGAATTGGTTTTTGCCTTTAATTGTGAAAGATATCCTAAAAGAACTTTTGCATTGGGTTTATTCCTAATCCAGCTAGGTATATTTCCTAAGGTTAAATAAATGGATGTTGGCTGGTTTTGCCCAATTGATCACATGTTATCATATCAGATTACATGATTATCGACAAGACTTTTACTTCACCGGGAATCGAATTTTGTACCCTTTCCTATTACTCTCCATTATACTGTTCATAATAAATTCTTTGATTATCGTGATTCAATGGCTCAAATTTAAATTTACAATGATGAAATATATTTTAATTGCTTAACAACTCCTTTATAGCATCAAAAATTTGACGGTAATAAAGGTAATATATTTCCTCTTTATATACCATAATAGGAATCTTTTTAAAAGAAATATGTGATACATTCATTTGATCTAATAACTGACGGCCCTTTTTTACAGACGTTGGTAAAATTACATCATCATGACAAATCTTTTTTGAAAATTTAAGTATATTACTGCCACATGCATCTGATAAGTTACTTTTGATAAGTAACTTTATAAAATCTCTAAATTCATTACTTGAAAATTCTGGTATGTCTGTTGTTGAATTACTAATATTAAGAGACTCAAGAATTGAACTTGTTTTAACGGGAAGTAATAAATACTCAATCTCATTATTATTGATCATTTGCTATATATAGATGTTAATATAATATCGCATCAAATAACTATGTAACACATTGATCTTCCTCCTCTTCTTCAAGTGATTTTTCGTAATTAAACTCCTCCTCTTCTTTAAGTTGTTCGTCATAACTCAACTCCTCTTCTTCAAGTTATTTTTGGTAACCAAACTCCTCTTCTTCTTCAAGTTGTTCATCATAACTCAACTCCTCTTCTTTAAGTTGTTCTTCATAATCAAACTCCCCTCTTCTTCTAGTTGTTTGTTATAACTCAATTCTTCCTCTTCTTCTAGTTGTTCATCATAACTCAACTCCTCCTCTTCTTCTAGTTGTTCACAGGCCTGTTCTTCTTCTTCAGAAATTTTTTGTAAAGCTTTGTCAACTACTGCATTATCATGAACTTTTATGTGATTTCGTAGTAAAGCACAATGACTAAACTCTCTTCCACAAGTTGAACATGTATAACTTGACATTTTTTTTAATAAAATAAGATGTGGATTTAACTACTAAGTTAAATTAATGTGATGAATTTAAGGATTTTGGAATATCATGATGTTTAAAATGAAATGAATTGATTAATGATCAATTCACGTCCCTCATTATTAAATTAATCAATGAGATTAATCACATCATCTAAAAACATAAAAATAAAAAGAATTAAGAAATACCAATATCCAACATCTTTTTACTTTTTTTTTTGCTTATCATATTTGCTATAATGAGTACTATTAATTACAACAACTTAAAATGTCTAAAGACAAGATCAATAATGACAAACGAAAAGGTAATTATATATTGTTTATTAATTACATTTGGTTGATTTATTTCTATGTTTGTTAATTCGTTATACTTTCTTTTAGACTCTGGAAAATAAAGGTATAAAGAAAACTTCTTTGTTTATTAAAATAAATTAAGCGTACTAATTTTTAAAATTAAACGTAGTATCAAAAGAACGCCTGAGTTCTACTGATACTAATACTGAGATTACCGAGGAATTCGTTGACAGATCATGATCAAATACTAAGAAACCTTAGGAATCCATTGACAGATCACGATCAAATACTAGGAAACCTGAGGAATCCATTAACAGATCACGACCAAATACTAGGAAACCTGAAGAATCCATTGACAGACCATGATCAAATACTAGAAAATCTGAGGAATCTGTTAACAGATCACTATCAAATACTAGGAAAACAATAATTTTAAAGATCAACTTGTTTTTAAATAATGATTTCATCTTTCAGACAAGTTCAAGTAATACTACTAGGGTATGTCAAGAAACGACTCAATTAGCAATAGCAAATTATATTTTTTATTATTGTCACTTATTTTAACTAACTCTCAATGTATTTATTTATCACGTAGATAAGAAAAACATCAACAATGTCTTTACCTAATATAGTAATACTTTTTTTTACATATCGAATGACATCTAAAATATCTAAGACGAGATTCAGAGTATTTCAAGATTCTAAAGAATCTGCTGAAAGTCAAATAGAATTTATATCAACATATATCTTGTGTTTATTAATATGATATTAAATTAATTCTAATTTATTAGCTGATTATACGTGAGAATTAACGAAAATAATTAAAATCTGTCAAAGTAATTCAATAAAACTGAACGAACTAATTGTAAATCAAGAAAAACTAGAGGAGAAGATAAACAATCAGGATAATAAAATATCAACAATATTGTCATTGTTAAATGATTACTACAAGAAGATTTGCTCTGAAATTGAGACGAAAGATAAAAAAAAAGCAAAGTTAAGAAAGAGGAAGATTTTTATCATGTAAATAAATATAAATAATTTATAATATTTCTTTAAATGTTTGCTTATAATTATATTTGTATTACAGGACGTGATTAAAAAGCTTGCTTACGAAATATTTCACCAGCATAAACAGTTATCTGAACAACTAATGAAAGAACGTTTTAAGAAAAATTAGACAGTGATAAACATTGTGTTGATTTTCTCTGAAAGTCTAATGAAAGAGATTTAATTTTTGATGAGTTATGAAACAGAAAAATGTATTCCTCTGTAAGTACTAGTGTTCCAATTTATATAACATTATATTAATTAGCATACTAATATGTTTAGTAAATTAGCTACTCATCACAGTCCGTTCAAAAAGAGGCTACTATGTAAGAAGAGTTAAAGAAAGTTTGTGGTCGACATTTGGTATAAACTGAATAAAACCTTTTAAAAATACTTATACCAAATATCAGATGAAAGAGTGGAAGCAAAATAAAAATGTTTGACAAGTATATGACGATTTATACAAGCCTATCGATCCTGAAGATACGCAAGCTGACACATATATTTCTCTAATAATTAAATCCATTTTTACAGTTAAAAAAGAATGTATACAATTAAATAGGGTTTGGATTCAGTTAGTTCTCAAGGTAATTTTTGATGAAAAACATCTTTCGTCGAAAATTGACTCTGATATAGTAGAAAATTGGACTGAAGTGATTAGCGACACCAAAATGGTAAGTATACAGACTAAATTTATAATAGTATTTAAACTTAATTACTAATATTAAAATACTTTTTATTAAGACTTGGATGTATATGATCATTATTCTCTGATGTATTAGCCTTCTGATCAATTTGTGGATGATAATAATAATATATCATCAGTAAATAACTAAATAAGTGTTTATTATTTTCATAGAATATTTAGATTTCACGTATTTTTTCGTATTTTTTTCTTTTAATTATTTTATATTTTTATTTTGATTATTTCGATTGATGTATCAATTTATTTATTACTATTATAAATTTATTAATATATATATCGTGTTTTTAGCTAACATTATATGCGTAACTATGTAATATTGCATGTGTTTTCAACTAATTATACACATTTTTCAACTAAAGTAATATTGTTATACATGTTTTCCAACTAGCGTTAACTGCCATTGTTTTACTATATGCCATTGCTCAATACTTAAATTAAGTTGCATAACGCATTGTTGAATTGCGTCAGTTGACATGAAGTTCGTTGCTCAATACATTTTGGTATTGAGCAACACATGGCGTTTGTTAACACATTAAACGCCTGCCAAAAACTTACTGATGATATAGTAAAAGGAAAAGTATTTAATAAAATAATATCAATACTTATTTCACATCCATATACTAAGTAGAGAAACAGTTAAAAATTTAATAATAAAGCAAGTTAAAAAAAAGGAATTTGTTATAAATATGTTTATAATTATTCCAGAAAAAGTTTCTTTAACAATTTATATTTGGTTATCTTTAAAATTTGAAGGATTTTAGAAATTACAATACATTTTTATCAATGAAAATTAGATTTTAAAAACATTTTACATTGGATATATTTCAATTTAAAGGTCAACATTCAGCTGATGAAATTGCTAAAAAAATTTATAATATACTTGTAGAATTTGGATTAGAAACTATAACTTTAGGAATAACTACTGATAATAGTGGTAATATGATTCATGATGCAAATATTTTAAAATTAAAAATATCAGATAACTTTATTTATTATCAATGTATTGCAATGTATTGCTCATGTTTTAACAATTTTTTCATCTAATTATAGATTGTAAAATAAGGTGGAATTCAACCTTTAAAATAATTAATCGTGCATCTATGTATATTTTAAAAGAAAATATAAAAATATTATTTATTAAGCATTTTAAATTAAAAGATATTTTTTTCAAGTGAATGTGAATGTGAATGATTTAAAGATTTAGACCAAATTTTATATTAATATAATAAAGCAATTATTGAACTTTTATCACAAAAATATCCTACTATTGCACATTCAAGAGTAATATTATTAGCTATTAAAAAAGATTTTAGAAATTAATTATGATGATAATTATTATTAAATGATGTAATTAAAAGCATTGTTTGTAAAATTCAATAAGTATTATAATAAATTAAAAGAAACTTCTCATATTATGACCTTTTTAGATCCAACATATAAAAAAAGATTGTTTTTCAGAAATGATAAATTATGAAATACAATTACCAATTAGAAGTCTATTAGAGTAATAACAACAACAAGGAGTTCCTATTATTTCAACAAAAAAAAAAGTTTTAGTTTTTTAAAGAAGTTAAATGGAGAAACTTCTGTTAGAATAAATGAAGATGATAAAATTCATAATTATTGGATTGTTACTGAAGCTGAAGAAGATATAGAACCTTTAGATTGGTGAAAAACTCATTCTACTAAATTTCATAATTTATCAAAACTTGTATTTGAATATTTATGTATTCAAGTAAGTTCAGTTTGATGTGAACAACTATTTTCAATTACAAGTCATATTTTATGTAAATCACGAAATTATTTATCTGGAGTAAAGATGGTACAGCAATTGATTTCAAATTTACAAAATGTTGCAACATAAGCTAAAATTAGTTGCAACATATGTTGCAACATTATAAGTTACAACATATATAGGTTAAAACTAATTGCAATGTAAGTTGCAACATTAAAAGTTGCAACATATTAATTACAGTTCCCATCTTTAATCTGGAGATACTGTAAGAGCATGTTTATGCTTATATAGTTGGGATTTCATAAAACATTATATAGATTTTGTTTGTAAATTAAACCTTTTTTGTAATTCATATTTCAAATAAATAAATAAATCTATTTTTTATTTAAAAGAATTAAATTTTTAATTATTTAAAAAATTCCTTGATATTGTTATATTTATTACAAGTTTAACTTTGATTAAAATTTAATCATCAAATTAATCATTAAAATTTTACCTTTTGATGATTTTGAATAAATTTTTCAATTACATTAATTGTACAATTAAGTACAAATGAAATAATTAATATAAATATTTTTTGAATATTACTTTTATAATTCTAAAAGCTTTTGTTTTCACTATTAATTTCTCGTAAGTTTTTTAATTGTTTGTAAATTTATTTTAATCATTTTAATTAGAAATTAATTTTATTATTATAGTAAATAAACTTTTTTATTAGCATAATCCATCAAATCTTTTATTTGTAACTATATGATAAAATGGTAAATATATCATATTTCAAATAAAAAAAAAATGAAATCTGTAATTATTTATTTATAAATAATAACTATGAATCATAAACATGTGTTTCCAGAATACACACTTAAATTAAAAAATCACTACACAGAACACATTGATTAAGTAAAATAATAAGAACTGATATATATTCTCATGAATGAAGAAACACACAATTTATGAAAATTTTATATAAAATTAACAAAAAGTTTTATCTTGTTTGAATATATAATGATTTCACATATATAAACAAAAATATTTTATACAAATTATCTTATTTATGGTTTAAAGATATCTAAATATCATTATTATTACACAAAGGCAACTGTGAAAAGATATTATTTTTTATAAAAAAACAATTTTTTAATTTACAATCCGCTAAATATTAGAAAACAATTTCAAAGACAAGAGAAAGTGTATAGGAGATATTAAAAGAAGACAGGTTGAGACTCATTGCTACATTTGTTTTAAATAAAATAAAATTTTTAAAAAAAATTCTATATTATTTCAAATTATTCTTTATTGATATTGTATAATCAATTATGTTTATTATTTTGTACTATTATTAATTGGGAATATAGCAAACCTGTATAGTACAGTTAGCAATGTATGTATTATATGGATAAAGTTTACTATACATATATGTATGGTGATTGGCAGATTATTATGTATATATGTATAACACAAATTGCAGTTTTATACATATTTGTATAACTTTGATTAAATTAAAAAGGAAATTTGATTTAACTTTAAACTTTTCCTTATTTTTATTGATACCTTAATATGCTAACCGAATATATATAAATAAATAATATACTCCTTAATATTTAAACTTTTTTTTCTTCGAATTTTTTTTAATTAAATACTATTCTTTTTCTCAGATTAATCAGTCCGAATTTATTTATTTAAAAGAATTCTAAAATTTAAAAAAATTACATGTGTGATAACTTGATTTATTTACAAATAGATTCTTTATCCTTCTATTCTATATCCAAATTTGCTATTTTACCTAAAATATAAAATCAATTTTTATAAACGCGTTCATCGTATTTTTTTTAAATTATAAACTTTCTACCATTATCATTATGTCTAAAATAAATCCTATTGTACTTTCTGATATAGAAACTATTTTTGATAATGAAACTATATCAGAAAGCGAATCTTATAAATCATTAGATAAACAGGTTTACTTTTATTTTTTTATTTATTTATTTTTTAATAATATATATTTAATTTTTAATTCTTAAAATTTTTTAGAGTGATAATGGAGTGAACAAATGGGTTTTTTTACAAGAAATCTTTCAGTTACAGAAATTATACATTCAGCTTTTCCTATTGAATATTCAAAAACTTCACCACAAGGTATAGCTACTATCTTCAATATTTTTGGTTGGTCAAATTCAATGGTTTGTTTTAATGATGTAAGTATATTTTATGATAAAAGTTTGTAAAATTATTTTAATATCTTTTATTTAATTTTAAATATATTTTTTTTATTAGATACAATAGTCTATTAATGATACTGGAGAATCTAATTCAATTAAAATTTGCCCATTTTTTGTAAAAAAGATAAACAAAATGTCAAGGAATTAAGCATTTTACTTTTATTAACTTAGTATTTATTAAAGAATTACACAATAAAGTTAATATAAAATCTGAGACTTTTATTAAAGTTAATCAATATCAAAATGAAAATAATATAAAAACTAAAACTTATACGTAAGTTTTATATATTTATTGATTTATATTTAATTTTTTCCTTTACTAATGATAAATTAAATAAATATAAATTATTTCTTGCTATTCAATCATCAGTTTGCAAATATAAAAATAATAATAATGAAAATTGTAATAGACAAGTAAAATTAAAAAGAATTATTAAAAATGCTGATGAAAGTGAAGAATATATTATTGAATGTGATAAATGGATTAAAGGAGAAAATGATATCATTATTTTAAAGTTTTAGAAGAGATTGATTCAAAATTATTACGCGATCTTTTTCAAGAATAAATTGTATGTATTTTAATTATACTTTATATAATTTTATATAATTAAATATAAAAAATAATGATTATTTTTTTATTTAGATTGATAATTCTAATACTAATGAAAAATGCTATACCTTAATTTCACATTCTTCTAAAAGTAATTTTACGGTAAATAATAAATTTATATTATAATTAAATTATTAATTTTTTTGATTAAATTACATTAATTATTAATTTTTATTTTTAAATAGAATTTTCACATATTCAAAATAGTCCAAGTTGTTAGAGGAAATATAATTGTACGCAAATGCGATATTTGATTTATTAAATTTATTCCACATGATTTAGTTGTATGTTCTTATATTGCATTAGTATGTATGTGCATTCATAATCATCTACCACCACTACCTGATCATATGCTTGCTAATATTAAAGATGAATTACAAATAATAATTCAAAATATAATTGCTTCAAATGATAATGTAACACTGCATTCAATTATTGCAGGTAATTTTCTAAATATTATATTATAATTTAATTATTATTATACGATATTAATATATATTATTTTAAATTGGAAATAGTATTAAGCAACTTTTGATAAAGATACTTTATCAGAATTTTATGATCATTAAATAATATAGACAAACTTCGATCACTTGTTGCTAAATGTTATAAAAATATTCATCCTTATAGTCTAGGTAATTTAGGAGTTTTATATTGTGTTCAATGTAAAAAATTTGATTTATATAATTATGTTCGTCGTATAGGTAAATACTATTTTTCTATAAAATTATAATATTTATATATTTTTATTTATTAATAATTTATAAATTTTAAATTAGAACAATTTGAAGATAAATAAACATTAATTATTACAAGAATTAAAAATACTTTCAGATTGATTTAACATTTAAGAGAGTGTCTGGAAATATTAAAGAATTTGTAATTAATACATATGATAATATGCATAAATTAAGTAAGTAATTTATTAATATTATTATTTTATTATTTTATATATTAATTAATTTTTTAGTTTTTTTTTTAGTTCTTTTTTATTGCCGAATTTATATCAATATTTTTACAGCAAATGCATATGAATGATTATTTACTCAACCTTTTGAAGTTATTGAAAATTTGAGTGAAATTCCTATAAAATTTTATCATATTGACAGTACAGGTTGGGAATGTATTTTAAGTGATCTTGATGCAGAACAAGCAAAAGGGTTAGGTTTAGCTTTATCAAAAAGAGATTCTAGTAAAAATTGGTAAACACATTTGACTTATATTTTTAAATCATATTTAGTTCAATTTAATCAGTAAAATATTTTTATTTAATTTAAAAATTTTATATTTTAAATTTTTAAATTATTAATTTTTTTTATTTTAGAAACTTGAGAGCTAAAAAATTTAATAATGAAGTTTATTCATTAGCAGTATCAATTCCATTTAAAACTAATATTGAAGAGGTTTATAAATGCTTTGAAAAATTAGAAACTTTTGATAATTAACAGATTAAAGGTAATCATTTATTTTTTTTTTTAATTGATATAGTAATTTTATAAATTTAATTAATAAAATTATTTTTATAAATTGGATTCAATATTATCATCAACCTTATATTTTAGCATCTTTAAATAAACATGTTTTTAATATGAATAATGAAATTTGGGAATGATATAATAATAATACTAATGTAGCAGAGGCTGCATATGCTCAAGCTAATAGAGAAGAAAACAATTAAAACTTATTACAGCAATTTTATAAAAATAATAAAAATAAATTAATTTAAATTTTAATTTTAAAATTAAAAAAAATAAAAATATAAAATATTACCTTAGAGGTAAAAAATTAGATGAACGTCTTTTTAAAATACTGTAAAAGAAATTCGTATAAATTTGGAGTTCTTTATACTAGAAGAGACAAAAGTGAAATTAAAAGAAAAGCAATAGCTATTAACTGAAAAAGTAAATAATAAATAGTATAAAATTAATTTTTTTTATTAATAACTTTATTAAATAATTTAAAATTTTAAAGGTACTCGTAAAAGAAATTGTAAATTAATATTAAAAGAAGAATCTAATAGTAAGTATTTTATTATTTTTTTATTTAGTAATAAATTAATTTAATTTTTTTAAAAACAATTATTAGAAAAAACAATGCATGATTTAAATAATCAAGAAGTTTCTGATAAAAAAGGTATAAAAAGAAAAGCAATATTAGATAGTTTTAAAGTTAAAAAATCCCGAATTAATATTAATGAATCTGATAATGAACAAGAAAATAACTTACATTTAGAAGTTGATATTGAAGAACGAAAGATGAAATTATCTGAAAGGCAATTAGCATATCGTAGAGCTCAAGCTAAAATCGAAAAATTAGAATTAGAAAATATTAAATTACGTATAGAGCTTGAAAATAATTAGAAATTAATATATTTCATATACAGTCGACCCTCTCTACTGTCACATCCCTCGGGACTGTTGTAGCCCAAATGCGTTAATATCCGAAATGATTATTTTGGATATCCGAAATCGGAATGCGCATTTGGGATATCCTAAATGCGAAGATCATTTCAGATATGTGCTAGCCCCAAATGTGCATTTATCCCAAATGATCACTTGGGATATCCCAAATGATCATTTCGAATAATGTCCCAAATGCTTACTTGGGATATCCCAAATGCTCACTTCAGATATCCCAAATAACCACTTCGGATAATAACCCAAATGCTCACTTCAGATATCCCAAATGACCACTTCAGATAATATCCCAAATGCTCACTTCGGATATCCCAAATGACCACTTCGGACAATATCCCAAATGCTCACTTCAGATATCCCAAATGACCACTTCAGACAGTATCCCAAATGCTCACTTTAGATATCCCAAATGATCACTTCGGATATACCAAATACTCATTTCGGATATCCAAAATGACATCTTCGGATAATATCTTAAACGCTTCCAATTGTTCATTTTGAGATTATCAAAATTGATTTACATTTCTAAATTGGTATTTAATTTCCTAATTAATCTTAGTATGCAAAATATATAGAATTTTTTTTTAAAAAAAATGCCGCCAATTTTTTTCCTTACAATTATTAATAACAATAACAATGGAAGCTTTTAGTTTTATTTTTCCTGAAGTTTTTGAAGAACTTATTGTCCAATATACCAATTCTTTAAAAAATAAGAACAAATACAATATTCATTTAATTGATCAAAATACATATGATGATATTAAAAAATTCTTGTTTGGTGGAAATGTATAAGATGCTAATTTTAAAAGATGAGCAAGAGCACATTTTACCTATATTACTGTAGGAAATGATCATGTTGTACATATTTCATTCAACAATAGAACAACAGGTGCTAGAAATAATGTCAACAAAAATATTCGCTCGTTACCAGTTTTAATTAAAGAAAATATGTATAAAGTATTTTGTTTAGCCCATACTGAAGTTAGTCACAAAAAAATAGCTAGTACATATGAAAAATTGCGCAATGAATGGGGTAATATTAACAAAAAATTGGTTGAACTTTTTTGTGAGAATTGTTCTATTTGTGCTATTCGTGTAAACAGAAAATTTAGTAATGAAGTAGCAGGAAAAGCAATAATTGCTAGAAACTTTTTATCTCGTTTACAGGTATAGTAATTATGAAATATGTTTTAAAATATTAAAATATTAAAAACTAAAATAATTTATTAAAATTTAGATGGATTTGATTGATTTTAGAGGATCTCCTGATGAAAATTTTAAATATATTTTACATATTAAAGATCATTTTACTCGATTTTCTTGGGCTTATCCTCTTCCTTCTAAACAAACTAATGCAATAGCATTAAAATTATTTGAATTGTTTACTGAAATTGGACCACCAACAATTCTTCAATCTGATAATGGAAGAGAATTTACATCTAAAATTATAAAAAATTTGTCAAATTTATGGAATAATTTAAAAATTATTAATGGAAGACCTAGACATCCTCAATCTCAAGGATTAATTGAAAGAGGTAATAGTGAAATTGGTAAATTAATTGGAAAATGGATGGAAGCAAATAATAGTACAAAATGGAGTTTTGGTCTAAGATTTGTTTTATGGGCAATAAATACTACTATTTGTCGTGCTACTGGTCAACCTCCTTATCAATTAGTTTTTGGAAATAAACCTAAAAGTAATTTGGGATTTTTACATGCTTTACAATGGGTTGATTCCATTTTTTTTGAAGAAAATATACCTAATAATGTATCTATTGAGCAAAATAATGAAATTGAAGTATGTATTATTTTAATTATATTTATTTCTTAATTATATATTATATTATAATTAAATAAATAAAATAAAATTTTATAGAATATTAATGAAAATAATACAAATGAAATAGCATCACTTTTTTTAGAAAATGAATCTAATAATAATGTAATATTATTTAATTTTTTATTTTTTTTTTAATTATTAATAATTTTAATTTATAATTTGATAAAATTTTAGAGCAATAATGAATCTGATACAAATGATTCAGAAAATAATTCAAATACTTCAGATACTTCTAAAAAAATTTCAAATGATTCTTCTAAAAATAATTCAGATTCTTCTAAAAATTCATTTG